TCTTTTCTAGTGATTAAGCAAATATTAATAAAAATTTTTTCTTTTTTTGTTTTTTATTTCTTTTTTGTTCTGTTCAACTGCTAATAAAATTTTTTTATATTAATTGTATCTGAATTCTATAACGTTACATGAATTTTTTTAGTAATTAAGTCTGCGAAGCAAATATTAATAAAATTTTTAAGTTTTTTATTACTTTTTTGTTCAGTTCAACTGCTAAGCATTAAACTGGAAAGGTTTCGGTGGTTTATTAACTTTAAAGTTTCTAGATTTCTCCTTGCAGCTATCAGTTTAATTTCCATAACAAGTAAGTATTACGTATATTCCGTTAAGTTACACCACCGAAACCTTTTTTATATTAATTGTATCTGAATTCTATAATGTCACATGAATTTTTTTAAATTTACGCGCGCCATCTATCGCCCATCAGGCCCCCGTTTAACTGTCCACCGCTAGGTGGGCGCGCGTCGTCTATCCACCATGCGAGTTCCACCATCCACCGCCAGGTGGAGCCCCATGATGTTAGTTCCACCATCCACCGCTCTTAATTCTATAACGTCGCATGAATTTTTAAAAATTTACGCGCGTCATCTATCGCTCATTAGGCCCCCCCCGCTTAACTATCCACCAACGTTTGGCGTTACTTCCACCATCCACCGCTAGGTGGCGTCCCGTGAAGAAGGTAACCAACATAGCGTTAGTTCCACCACCCACCGCTAAGTGGCGCCTCACGACATAGGCAACCAACATGACATGTTTTTTAGTTTCACTACACACCACCAGATGGCGTCACATGCATTTCAAATTTCCCGCGCTGTGGCGTCACTTCCTGCTCGCGCATGCGCAGACGTCAGGATTAAGGGGATTAACTTCCGGTCGGGAACTCTCGTTTTTATACTACTCGTATATCAAAATAATATTTTTTTATTTACCTTATTATTTTTCTTATTTTACCGATTAAATATTTTTTGCAACTTAAAATATCTCGAACTGTTTATTATTATTTTTTTTGTGTTTTGTGGTTGTGTCTACTTGTGTCGATTACATCACTTTACCACCTCACGTCACAGTTCGTGGACAACGCAGGGTTAACTGTGTGGCGCCTTATAAATAACCCTACCCGTCTTCACTGGGCCGGCCGAAGACCTGCGTTAGTTATTAAATTGGTAATCGACTGTATTGTTTTTTTCTTTGTGTTCATAAGTCGTCACAACATCTTAGAAACTTTTCTGCAGCAGTTATGAAAATTATTCTCCAACCAAATAACTTGCCTTCTTTCGTATTTATCTAAATTTTTGAATGATACTTTCGGCTTAAATAGCCAGTTCTTTCAAAATAAATTCGTTTTTTAATTGAAATCCTTGTAGATCAATTACTTTGACGGATTTATATCGAGTCATTATTACATTATTACATCGGTGAGTAGGATTCAAAACAGGCAGCAATATTTTACCTATTCTTTCTATTCGATGATTGAAATGACACCGTTCGCGAAACAAATCCGGACAGTTAACGTCAACCATGTCCACTTCATAAACATTTAGATCTTTATAAAATTTCACGTTATTCATCTCAAACAATTTTCTGCACTAAACCAGTCAGAGGTTTATACTGAACGATTGTATCGTGAATAATGAGGCAATAGACCGCCGTTTTATCATTAAAAGGTAAATCAGCTTCCATATCCAATTTAATATCGACAGTTGACGACTCTACGCTCTCGAGCTGTTTCGAGCAATCGATCACAAATAGGGGTGTCCGACTAAATTGTTCATAGTCTAGTATACGCTCCCCAGTTTTATTATAATAACTTTTTCTAAATGATGTATACATATTATAGACATTCCCATATCTTTTTTGTGACATCGATAGATTTAAGTTATCATATGGATAATGAGATGAGTTTAAGTGTAACTTAATGTTATTTATAGAAGCGGGTATGAATATTGATGAATCAATGATGGCATCATCCTTTCCCTTATTTTGAAATACGATGACCACGTACCTTGGTCTCTCCAAACTAGTAGTTGATTTAACCGGCCAAATATCTTTTCTTGTAGGTCGTAATGAGGGTAATTCAAACAGCTCCCAGTTTCTGAAAGGTATGAGTATGGGTAAATCCTTATTGAGGGTACTCAACAACTGTAGGCGATATTTATCGCTTACGGTGACGTGACGTATTTTCCACTCAACATTCATCAGATTTATTTTAAATTTTTAGTCCCATTCTTCAGAGTATTTTTAAAGCAATTATCATCATTTCGACTTCTTAGTAACACCAGCTCTTGGCGGGCATTGATAATAATTTCTTTATAATCCTCGGCGAATCCCAAAATAAAACTTAGTGGAACGAAAGCGCTAAATATTGTGTTGTTAGTGCTAATGGTATGCTGCTGCTCATCAAATTTCGGTATCCAACCGGCTCCTTGCAAACCTATACACTCGTTGTCATTGTGTGACAAATAGGCTTTCATTGTTGTTGCAATTCCAGGTTTGATGTTCCTGTCAACCTCAACTCCATTCAACTCATAACATATTTCATCGAATAGGAACATGAAGGCGTTATTGATTAAACTGACTTCACCAGTTCCGGCTATCTGCTCCATTTGACCATGAATATACAACAACTGTCGTGTGGATATGTGTAAATATCTTGATGGTTGATTGGTATGCGAATTTCATCGCTATTATTGAACGATTGTATGCGAGGTAGATAAGTGTGATATTCATCGCTCGATAAACTATCGTCAAAAGCTACTGAATCGTAGACGTTTAATATTTCACTCATTCTTATTTTTTTTATTTTAAAACCCAATAATTTCAAAAATTCAATATTTTCCGATGATAGGTTGTGGGGTTGCTGTCTACTCGTCGGCAGCTTCTCGCCAATTGATGAGGGATTATACTCATTCAACCTTTTATAAGTTGCTTTTAATGTTGATGACTTAGCGCCGTTATTGAATATGAGTCCCATTATATCCGCTTCAATTCTAATCTAATTACAATTTCCTCACCGCGAAAATTTACAGGATTACCGTTCTGATCGATCAGAAATAGTGTTATGTTACTGATACGTCGACGGTTGATCACTGGCAAATAAACTATATTTTTAGGTTCAATATTTATACTATAGCCTGGAGCCACTTGCGGTGCAAATTCAAAGAGGGTATGTGATTGCTGCGAATCGTGAAATGAACTTGTTATGATATTACATTCGACCCGTATACTAGTTACTCTGATTATTTGCACCGGCTGCTCAGATTCTCGCATAACACCTGGCGGTATTGGTTTGCTTCCGCGACCGAAGCCCAACATCGGGCCAACCGAATCCGGCCTATCAAGATGTATCCAATATTTTTTCGATCTTATTTCACATTTTAAGGTATTATGATTAGGTTTAATGCTAATAATTGGTTCATCATCATCCTTAATTGTTAATTTGAGATCTTTTTGCATTCTTTTACACACATACGCGTCTATGTTATTGATTTCATACGATCCAGTAGGAATTTCAATAAATTTTGATCCATCTTTATCATAGTAGATTCTATTTCGCCCTGGTTCTATATTCGGAATACTATTGTAAGTATAAAGACCTATTAGACCCAAGGCGTAGTTTGATGATTCATCCAACTCATAAAACGGGTAATAATCAGCTGAAAGGGTACTGCCCCTTTCTCTCAATGTAAACGTAGTCGACATACTAAATCGCAGACTACTATCAATATTCAATTTATACATAATTTCCATAAAAATTCGAGACATAAATGACCACAATTTACTGTACCGAATTCCCGAAAACGATCATGATTGTATGAAATGGTGGCATTGGCGTATGTTAAAAGTTTAAAAGTTAATTGGTATATCCATGACCGTATCCATGGCCGTATCCATGGCAGTTTTTTCGTGTTGTTTTTTTTTTTGTCAACAATTATCAATTCGTAGCTTTTTCAACATATGTCAATGTTCTCTGTAAAAGTGAATCCTCAATACATTTTTCTATAAAAACAGTGTTAATCTCATCCTTCTTTTTCGTTAAAGTGTGTGCGTCTCGAATATAAAAAGGTAAGACAATATTCAGAACATTTAGACATTTTTTGGTCCTTCGAGCCGGATCTTGCGANTATTGCTGCGAGTTTTCCGCAATACTTTCCCCGACCTGGTGTTGCTGCGAGTTTTCCGCAACACTCTCCCGACCTAGTATTGCTGCGAGTTTTCCGCAATACTTTCCCCGACCTGGTGTTGCTGCGAGTTTTCCGCAATACTTTCCCCGACCTGGTATTGCTGCGAGTTTACCGCAATACTTTCCCCGACCTGGTGTTGCTGCGAGTTTACCGCAATACTTTCCCCGACCTAGTATTGCTGCGAGTTTTCCGCAATACTTTCCCCGACCTGGTGTTGCTGCGAGTTTTCCGCAACATCTTCCGACCTGGTGCTATCGCGAGTTTTCCGTAGCACTTCATCCAGACCAATTATTCCCTTATGAATAATTATTTCAATTACGTTCGAAGCACGAGTCCCACAAGATTGCACTAGGCCAGACATTTACCGATTATATATTTAAATAAAGATTTTTTTTACCTTCCTCCGTAAACTCCTATGTTGATTTTTTTTATTATTAATAAATTTTGATTTTATTTCTTAATTTATGAACCGCATGTTTTTATTTCTCTCAAACACCCTGAATCTCCAAAAACTGGTGACTGTAACCACCAAAAGCTACTTGGAGGCGAAAGAGTTCCTTAACTCTCTAAACATAAGGTGGCGCCCGAGACCGTTAACATCCCGAACATAAAAAAAAGGGCACCAAGACCCCTTTCCTAGGACCGAACCAGGAAAGGACGTCTCAACCACCATTTTTGGGCCATATTTTTGGATTCCCTAATTATTATCAATAAAGACCTTAATTAAAATATTATTTGTTTTTAATTTAACCCATTTTTCGATGTAAATCGCGCAAAAATAAGAAAAATTAATGTCGTTCATACCAGTATTAAGTTTGCCCATCCCTGGACTATGCAATACAAATTAAGCTCCAACTGTTCTTTGGAGAGTCACCAAAATAAACTTCAGCGAGTCGTTAGCGATCAACTATGCATACGGGCGTTAAATTTTTTTAAATTTACCTGTACAAAAATTTTTTGAAGTAAAATCCTTCTTTCTCTGGGTGTAAAATCACTATTTCCATCTTTAGTATTCGCCTCAAGTTCACTCATCTCAGGTAAATCAAAGAATAAATATAAGCATTTTACTAATGTTGAGGGAACTGAAACATCTGACATAACCTAAAAAAAAATTTTTAATTTTTTAAAAATCATTAATAAAATTATTTATTAATTTAATTTACTTGTACTAAATTAGAATCTCCTGCTGCCAATAAATTCAAGGTAGACAACAACATCCACCCATTACTTGATTCCTCACAATTTTCAATCTCCAAAAACTTAGCAATGGCACAACTCGCTGCTTCCGTACTTTGATTAGAAGCGCGTTTACGTATCTCGGAGACCATTAAGAGAGAAACTTGTTGACAAAACGCGAGGATATCCCAAAACTTCTCGTTCATATCATGAGAAGGACTCGCCCCGAAAACTTTACAAAATAATGGTAACATGTTGTAGAGTTTGTCGTCTTTTTCGACATCAGAGAGTGGATGGGATGGATGACTATACTCAGAAAAAAGCTTCTTCAAGTGCATTAAGCCCAGTTGAGTGTGTGGTGATCCTGGTACAGTGTCTGGGATGTCGTGGTTCGACGCATTTTGGGCGTTCGACATCCCACTACGTAATTTTCGCATGATATTCATCTTGAATGATTAAAAATAACCTAAGAAAAGGTGATTAAAAAAGTATTTATTTCATTATATAAGTATTTGTTGATAATTTAAGGAATTGTTTTGAAAAAAACGTAATAAGCCGGTTATAACAATAAAAAAACAAATGAAAGACAACAAATATTGGAGTAAGTCTCTAATATGGTTGACATGATGAAAACAAACCATTGATTTTAGGAGTTACGGGGCCGACTTACTTACCTTTTTCACGGGGGCATGTCGAAAAAGGTGCCGGTTTAAGCATGTTTCGTCTGGATCGGTTGTAACTTGATCATTTTCGTACAAAACGCCCCGATTTTTCACTCCAGCCGATTTGACGTTTTTGACATCTCCAATGTAATTCCAAATAGACAAGCGTAGATAGCGTTGAAAAGAGATAACCGATGAAAAAACAAGGAGGAAAAGAGAAGGATGGAAATAGTAAAGGCACATTTGAAAAATCAATCAAAATAATATTTTATTTAAAACTTTATTAATATTTAATTTTTTATCGTAAGTATCAATAATATCATTATCAACGGTGTCATTTTTTAATTGTAACAATTTTTATAGATTTTTAATTTTTTAATCGATAGATGTCAGTATCAATTATGAATCGGGGGTTTCAAAATAAAAGCAAGTAATAATCACATACTTTATTAATTTATCATTTTATTTTTGATTTTTTTGGTTCTTTATTTTCAACAGATGCAGCATCAACAATATCATTATCGATTTCGTCATCATTATCACATCCAAAATCAATTTTGACGGTGTCAACATCAACCTCCATCTTTTCATCAACAGAGGGCTCTGTCGATTGGGCATCGGGGATTTTCATGGAAGCTTCACCAACTTTCTCCTTAACCTCACTTTTACTATTTTTGAACATGATTGGGGTGAAAAATTGCTTTATCGACGGTTGTTTTTTCACCTCTAGGTAACTTTTTTGTATAAATGATACGAAATTTTCTTGTTTTTCTTGAGCGACGGTAAATCTACATAATAACCTCCACAATTCAACTAAAAATATAAACTTGTAACATTATCTCTGATTTAATTATCTGGAAAAATTCAAGAATCATGATGTGGGTTAAAAATCGACGATTTTTTTTTAATCAATGTGAAATGATTCGAAAAACACGTTAAAAACAAAAAGAAAGTGCGGAAAAGTGTAGAACATATCGAAAAATCACATTAAAGTTACGATGTGATGTCACAAAAGCAATGTTAACCATGCATTTTCCTATTAAACAGGTCAACACCTGACCTACAAATTGTTTATGTTATAGCCACGCACAAAATCAATCTGATAAACTTAAAAGGAAAGTTATTTTCACTAAACTAGGTGAGATTACAACGTATATTTTCGGATGAAACACCACTAAAATAGACTGCGTGATAATAGACTATGTGTTAATACTAGAACTAACACTAGACCGAAAAATTTAAAATCAACTGTCTAAAATATGTTAAAATCATGTTAAAATAAATAAAATCCAGAAAATTGACACGTTCAGTCAAACGTGTCTGTCATTCGTTTAGTTAATTTTCTGGATTTTATTTGTTTTTTGATTTTAAATTTTTTCTGTTATCACTTTAGACTAGTATTTAGTTTGTGTTAAGTGTTCCAAAAACAGTTTTTTATGCTCTGCAACCTCATGGAATCACGTGCTTCTCACACTTGACGTCGTGCCTGAAGAAGAAATCTGTAGATTTCGAAACATATGTCGCACCGAATATAAATAAACAAGTAAATTCACTTCATCGTTTTTTTCATTTACTCATTATTCTACTTAACGATGATGGAATCAACCATTTTCAAGTGTTAGTTCTAGTTTTAGTGCAATAAAAATATGTAACATAGTGATATCTTATGCTAACTAGCGCCACCAACCATTGTCACTAGAACCAGCATTAGATCTAAAACTAGAAATATTCAAGTTTAGCCATCTTAAGAGACGCAGGGCTAAACCCGAATGTTCCTGGTTTTAGGTCTGGTATTTGTTCTACTTTTCTTTCAGTAAAAATATACCACAATCTAACGCTAAGTACATTTAAAACTAGAACTAACACTAGACCTAGAACTAGAAGCATTCGGGTTTAGCTTCACGTCTCTCAAGACGGCTGAACCCGAATGATTCTAGTTGTAAGTCTTGTGTTAGTTCTAGTGATAGTGCTAGTATAAAACTAGAACTAACACTAGAACTAGAAAGTATCGGGTTTAACCCAACCCGGAATTTACAACCCACCCTCTGCTCCATGCCTAACCCGACATTGGAGAAATTCGCACTGGTTTAAAATTAACCTAACTCAAAGTGGAATTTCTATACAAAATTCTGAAATAAATCAGTAAATTACCCCCCTCTAAAGAGATATGTCGCATCTGGGTGACAAAGAATCGAGTGTTGTAGCAATTTTTAAATCTGCAATGGAAGGGACACAAAAAGATATCACTCAACAGAATAATAGTTTCAGTAAATAGTCTTCAGCCAGTAGTATTGTAATCTCCAAGCACTTAGTAGTGTTTTGGCAGTAGTATATAGTCTTCTGAAAGCATTAAATAGTTTTTGCCAACAATATCTAGCTTTCTTCAAGCAATTAGTAGTCTTTCCAACAATATTTAGCATTCTGAAAGTAGTTAATAGTCTTTTGGAAACAGTAGCTTGTATTTCCAAGCAGATAATAGTTTCTCCCAGCAGTATTTAGTCCTCTCCAAGCAGGTCGTAATCTTTTCTAGTAGTATATAGCGCTCTGAAAGCAGTAAGTAGTCTTATGGAAGCAGTATTTCGTCTTTCCAATCAGTTTATAGTTGTTTGTTAGCACTATCTAATCTTCTCCAAGCAGATTGTAATCTTTTCCACCAGTATCTAGCATTATGGAAGCAGTAGGTAAAAAGTATTCAACCCGGAATTTCAACTCACCCTCTGCTCCATGCCCAACACATTTGAGAAATTCACACTGGTTTAAATGTTAATTAACCTAACTCAAAGTGGAATTTCTACACAAAATTCTGAAATAAATTAGGTGGATCCGAATGTAACGTTTAAAGAGAAGACGCAACCCCCATCTAAAAAGATATATTGCGTCTGGGTGACAAATAATCGAGTGTTGTAGCTGCAATTTTTAAATCTGTAATGGAAAGGACACAGAAAGATATCACTCAACAGAAGAATAGTTTCAGTAAATAGTCTTCAGCCAGTAGTATTGTAATCTCCAAGCACTTAGTAGTGTTTTGGCAACAGTATATAGTTTTCTGAAAGTATTAAATAGCCTTTGCCAACAATATCTAGCTTTCTCCAAGCAATTAGTAGTCTTTCCAACAATATTTAGCATTTTGAAAGCAGTCTACAGTCTTTTGGAAACAGTATCTTGTCTTTCTAAGCAGATAATAGTTTCTCCCAGCAGTATTTAGTCTTCTCCAAGCAGGTCGTAATCTTTTCTAGTAGTATATAGCGCTCTGAAAGCAGTAAGTAGTCTTATGGAAGTTGTTTGTTAGGACTATCTAGTCTTCTCCAAGCAGATTATGATCTTTTCCATCAGTATTTAGCATTTTGGAAGCAGTAGGTAACTTTTTAGGAAGCATATCTCTTCTCTCCAAGCAGTCATTAGTCTTTTCCAGCAGTATCTAACATTCTAGAAGCAGTAGGTGGTTTTTTTGGAAAGCATATCTCTTTTCCAAACAATTATTAATATCTCTGAAAGCAATAAGTAGTCTTGGAAGCAGTATTCCGCCTGTCCAAGTAGATCAAAACCTTTAACAGCAGTGTTTAGCGTTCTGGAAGCAATAGGTATTATTTTGAAAACAGTATCTAGTCTTTTCCAAGTAAGTTGTGGTCTTTTTCTGCAGTATCTAGCATTTTAGAAGCTATAGGTAACTTTTTGATATAGTATTTCCTCTTTCCAAGCAGTCTAAGCAGGCTAAAACTTTTACTAGCAGTATTTAATTTTCTGGTAGCAATAATTAGTCTTTTGCCAACAGTATCTAGCATTCAGGAACCAATAAGTTAAAGATTTTAGGTTATCTTTAGTTTATAGATGGTAAACAACGACATGTTAATGAAAATATGCGTTTTAACCAAATGTGGTGCGAAAATATATGGTACAAAAAGTGACGTCTCGTCAAAACTTTAAAGTGATTTAATTAAATTAATTGCGATTATTGTTTTAATAATCGATTTTTAACATGATTCTTGAATTATACCTTTTTTTTCTTACAGATTTTTACTGAATGATTCGTTAAAAACGAATATATTTTATGAATTGTGTCGCGAAGTTCTT